GTGCCCCCGCTCAGTGCACCTTCTCCGACGGCTCTGCCGCCGTGGCTGAGACTGCTGCAGCAGCGCAGGTCCGTTCGGGGAAGGGCCGCCGCCCCAAGGCTGGGCGCGGCGGAGGAGGCGGCGGGGGTGCGGGCGGGGGTAGTGGTGGGGTCGGGTCGCCTGGTGCTGGAGTGGACGAGGGGACCCTGCCCAGTTCAGCTGAGTCGCCGCCCCTGCAGGTGCAGCAGTCGCAGCAGCCGCCGCAGTCGCAGCCTTCGCAGCAGCCGCAGCAGCCGTCGCAGACGCGGCAGACGAGTGTCCTCCCGCCAGGGTGGCCCGGCGCTGGCGGTGGCCGGGCGCGTGGTGGTGTGCCGCGTGGTGGCTCTGGCGGCGGGCGTTGTCAGTACCAGATCCAGACCGGTCCTCGCCGCGGCTTCGTTTGCGGTAAGCTCGGTCACTCCACTCCCCGCTGTTTTCGTCGCCTGGACGACCTCTTTCGTCAGCGCTTCGGCCCGTCGCCAGACCTCCCGGACTGGCACAGTTTGCTTAGTCGTCAGATTCAGATTTTTGATATGGACATGGATGCCATTGTTTCTGCTCTGCATGTGATGTATGCTGATGACTCTAGTGTGCTTCCCGCTTATTATTCACTGTTGCCTAGTGTATGTGTGCCTAGCTTAGCCTCCCCTGCTGCGTCAGGCGTAGGATCCCCTGCTTTGTGTAGTCTTGGTGCTTCCGCCGTCGTTCCGTCGCCTGACCCCTCGGCTTCGCTTTCCTTCACCTTGGACTCTGGCGCCTCTCGGTGTTTCTTCCGCGACTCCACCACCCTGACGCCGCTTCCTGTTCCTGCTGCCGTTTCTCTTGCTGACCCCTCCGGCGGTCCGGTAGTCGCCCGCAGTTCCACCACCCTTCCCTGTCCGGCGGTTCCTTCGGGTTCTCTTACAGGTCTGCATATCCCCTCAATCTCCAGGAACCTAGTTGGTGTCGGCTGCCTCCAGGACCTTGGCGTCACCACTACGTTCCCTGGTCACGAGCGGTATGCTGTCTGTACCGAGGCCGCCACTGGTGCCCCCCTGTCCACGTTCCCCCGGGACCCGGTGTCCGGCCTGTTCACTCTGGACACCGTGACCCCCCCGGCTGGAGCGCCCCCTCAGGTGGCTGCGTCTACCCAGGTTGCTGCTGCCTGCTCCTGTCGATCCCTCACTCACCCGACCCTCCTGTGGCACCACCGCCTAGGTCACCCTGCGCTCCCGCGTCTGCGTCACATGTCTCAGCACGGTCTCGTCCTTGGTCTCCCAGGTTCGCTCCCCGCGTTTCCCTCCTCTCCAGCCCCACCGTGCACGCCTTGTGTCGAGGGTCGGCTTCGCCGTGCCCCTCACTCCTCCTCGTTTCCCCCTACCGCCGCGCCGCTGCAGACCCTGCACCTGGACGTCTAGGGCCCCGCCCCCGTCCCTGGGCCGCGTCGAGAGCGCTACTTTCTTGTGCTTGTCGACGACTTCACTCGTTACACCACCGTCTTTCCCCTGGAGCGCAAGGCCGACGTGCCTGGCGCTCTCATCCCCTGGCTTGTCTCTGCGCGTGTCCACCGCGGTCTCCCTGTCTTGCGTCTTCACTCCGACCGTGGTGGCGAGTTTGCCTCCGATGTCCTTGGTCGCTTTTGTCGTGCGGAGGGCATCACCTAGACGTTCACCCTACCGGACTCCCCACAGCAGAATGGGGTCGCTGAGCGACGCATCGGTTTGGTCATGGAGGTTGCTCGCACCTCCATGATCCATGCCGGTGCACCCCATTTTCTGTGGCCGTTCGCTGTGCGCTACGCTTCTCACCAGCTTAACCTGTGGCCGCACCCTCATCAGCCGCAGGTTTCGCCGACCCGTCTTTGGACTGGGTCTCCTGGTGACGCGTCTGCGTTCCACGTCTGGGGCTGCCTTGCTCACGTCCGTGCCTCCGGCACGGACAAGCTCACTGCCCGCACCCTTCCCTGCGTCTTCCTCGGTTTTCCCCTTGACGCGTCCGACTGGCACTTTTACCACCCGCCGTCTCACCGCTTCTTTCACTCTCGTGACGTCACCTTTGACGAGTCCGCCTCCTACTACCACCGCTTTCCCCTCCGTGGTCCCCCGGTTACCCCCCCCCTGTTCCTGGTCACCCCTTCCCCGGTGGTCCCTGCCCCTCCTCCTCCTCCTCCCCGTCCCGCCCCCTCTGGTGTGTCCCACGTCACCCCCCTTCCGTCCGTGGACCCGGTTGAGGAGTCTTCTGCCTCTGGTGGCCCTCCTGTGCAGTCCTCGCCGGCCGCCCCTCCCCAGGTGTCCCCTCCCCAGTCCCCTCCTCCACCGCCCCTACCGTTGCTGCAGCCGTCGTCGTCGTCGCCGCCGCCGCCGCCGCCGTCGCCTCCGCCGCCGCCGCCGTGCTGGTGTGGAGAGTGCCGGTGGTCGCCGAGGAGCAGCTTGCGGTCCAGGTGTCGCCGTTGTGCCGCCGCAGCAGCGGTCCCCGCCGGTGTCCGCCCTTCGCCTGCTCGGCCTTCCGTCCCCCGACCCTGCGTCGGTTCCTCCCCGACCGTCTCCTCCTCTTCCTGTCTACGGCCCTGTTTTCCCTCCGCCGGACTCGTCCCCGGCTCGTCTCCCCCCTCGTTTCCCTCCTGTGTCCCCTCCCCTGTCTCCTGACCCGACTCCTCCGTCGCACGTCTGGTCTCACCGCCCCTCCCGTGCTCGTCCTGCCTCGCCTGTCTTGCGCTCCCACCCTATGTTGCTTCGTTCCCACGCGTCTCGTCCTCCCCTTCTCCCGTCGCCTCCTCCGTCCTCCCTTGTTGTTGCGCCCCCCCCGCTGTCCGACTACCTTCGTGCCGCTCGTCCTCTCGTCCCTCGGGTCCTTGCCTCTCTCGTTACCGACCCGTCTGTTCCGGTCTCGTGCCTTGACGCTCTTGTCGCTGCTGTCGCTGACTTCGCCTCTACCCGCCGCCTTGACTACGCCACCGCTCTGGTCTCTGACCCTGCCTGTCCTCCGTCTGTCGGGGGTGCTCCTGCCCTTGGCAGTGACGTCCTGGAGGACCGCCAGTTCGAGCTTGCTTTCCTGTCTGAGGCTGCTCCCCATCTCTGTTCCATGCTGCTAGTCCCTGAGGGTGACCCAGACGCTTTCGACATCACGACCCCTCGCACTTGCGCTGAGGCGACTTCGGGACCCTGGGCCTCACACTGGATAGCTGCCATGGAGCAGGAGATGGCATCTTGGAGATCCACCGGCACCTTCGTCGACGCAGTTCCCCCACCTGGGGTGAACGTAGTCGATGGCCGCTGGCTCTTCAAGGTGAAGCGCCCTCCTGGAGAGCCGTCTGTCTTCAAGGCGCGCTATGTTGCTAGAGGCTTCAGTCAGCGCGAGGGGGTGGACTTCTTCCAGACTTTCGCTCCGACCCCGAAGATGACTACTCTTCGGGTTCTGTTACACGTAGCTGCTCAGCGTGACTACGAGCTTCACTCCCTCAACTTCTCCACTGCCTTCCTTCAGGGCAGCCTACACGAGCAGGTCTACCTGCGTCGCCCTCCGGGCTTTACTGGCACCTTCCCTCCTGGGACCCAGTGGCTCCTGCGGCGCCCCGTCTACGGCCTGCGCCATGCTCCCCGTGAGTGGCACGACACTCTTCGTGCTACCCTTGCTGACCTGCAGTTCTTTCCGTCTTCCGCAGACCCTTCACTCTTCGTTCGTGCTGGCCAGACTCCGTTCTACATCCTTGTTTACGTCGACGACCTGGTCTTTGCCACGGCAGACAGGGACGCACTGGCCTCCGTGAAGGTAGAGCTACTGAAGAGACACACCTGCACTGACCTTGGAGAACTGCGCCGTTACCTTGGCTTGCAGATCTCCAGGGACAGAGCTGCGCGCACCATCACCCTGACTCAGTCACACTTGGTGCGCCAGGTCCTTCAGAGGTTCAGCCTTCAGTTCTCCTCTGCACAGCCCACCCCTCTGCCTGTAGACCACAGACTCTCCGCTCCAGTACCTGAGGAGTTGGTAGAGCCCAGTGGCCCCTACGCAGAGCTCGTGGGTTGCCTCATGTACCTGATGACTTGCACTCGCCCAGATCTCGCATACCCTCTCAGCATCCTGGCGCGCTTTGTGGCCACAGGCAGACACCGACCGCAGCACTGGTCTGCCGCTAAGAGGGTTCTGCGTTATCTTGCTAGTACATCGGGCATGGGGTTAGTGCTTGGAGGACGCAGGCCAGTGGTCCTTACTGGACACACAGACGCTTCATGGGCAGACGACGCTGAGACACTCAGGTCTACCCAGGGCTACAGCTTCAGCCTTGGCTCAGGTGCCGTCTCGTGAAGAGCTACTCGCTCCTCGTCTGTTGCACAGTCCAGCTGTGAGGCTGAGATCTACGCTGGTGCCATGGCGGCACAGGAGCTCCGCTGGCTGACCTTCTTGCTCACTGACTTAGGTGAGCGGCCTAGCTCTGCCCCGGTCCTGTTCGCTGACAACAGGGCCATGATCCTCCTGTGTCAGGAGCCTCGACTCGAGGGCAGAGCGAAGCACATTCAGCTGCGGTACTTCCTCCTGCGTGAGCTACAGCAGCGACGTCAGGCTCGCGTAGTACACTTGGCCTCAGGTGCCAACACAGCTGATATCTTTACGAAGGCGCTTGCGCCTAAAGATCATCAGCGGCACTGTGTACAGCTTGGTCTAGTTCCTGTCGCTTCTCACTTGCTAGGACCTTGACTTGTACTGTCCTTTATATGTATACTCAGACTGGACTTGTGTCCTCTCCCAGTGGCTGGACTAGTAGTGCCGCCCTGGTCTTGTTCTTGCCTTGTTTGTACTCCTTCTGACTGGTCTCTCAGACCCTTGTCTCAGAGGTTGGACTAGTAGTGCCGCCTTGAGCTGCTTGTTTAGGGTATTCCCCTATGCAGTCTAGGGGGTGTGTCAAACATGTGTATTTGTTATGTTTGTATAGACTGTTAGACCTCTTAGAGGGTACAACACTTAGGTATATTTGTGTGTACTCTCACTTTACTATCAATTCAATTTTCAATCTTGATATGTCAGCTATGCAAGGCTGCTGCCGAGTCACGATACAAAACTACCAAAAAGGATCCAGTTATGCAGGAGATTGCTATATGTTGCTTCCAAAGAGTATGCATTCAGGCACAACTGTTCTCGAGACTGTGTAGACCAATTACGATTTGTTACATTAGGTGTTTTTCATATCAGACGGAAAAGGCGGACTCCATTTTCCCCACTGGAGAGGGTGCAGTGAGCTCCACATTTTCCCCTGTGCCGCCGCCATAGAAGTCCAGGCCAGAGAGCTTGGGGCGCGAGTGCAGTTCCCTGTGCTCTTGGCACAGGGCACACGGGTGGCAGAGGAAATGAGTGGGGCAGTCACCACCAGGCTCAGCCTGCCAATGAGCATATGCCACGTGGCACGGGGCAAGACAGGGTTGGATTTGAGGACATAACAGTATCAAGGTGCCAGGGCATTAGCACTCATACATGGGCATGAAGTGCCTGCATGTGGGCATGTGGATACGCCATGGCATATGGCCGGGAGGCACTGAGGTTGGATAAAACACCAAGTGGGAGCTCAGGCCGTCCATATGATCTGGCTTAAGTGTTCAGGAACGACGTTCCTTGGTGGACTCAGAATGCGGTTGAGAAAAGGAAAAACGGATGCTGATTGAATGATCATGGGCACAGCGGAGAACGGTACGTGAGGCTGATGAGAGCTGGGAGAAAGTTACACGGGGCGAACACCAGGAACAAGGGGAATATGAACAGGAAGAATAGGATATGGGGAGAGGAGCACCTTGAGGTGGAATTTCGATCGGAGCTCAGAGCGGTAGTTGCAGGCGTAGCAGGAGATGGGCGTGCACCAGAAGGCCGCGGGGCCGAGCGTGGTGTACGCCGCCCACACAATGCAGCCGCCCAACAGGCAGTGCATCACACACGGGCCGAAACACGGCCGCCCGTGCAGCCGCTCCACGTTCTGCGGGGCACAGAGAGGAGGGGAGTGAGGGGAGAGGTAGGAGAAGCGGAGGATGGCATGAGAGGAGAGGGAGCGAAGAGAGGAGAGTAGAGAGGGTGAGAGGTGTGGTGGAAGAGGGAAGAGGACGAGAGGTGAAAGGGGAGGGATGGGGAGGCGAGAGGGGGAGAGGGGGGATAAAGAGGCAGGCTGCTGCAAGCAAGGGACTTGGCGGGTTGGGTCTTTGGTGAGGAGTAGCCTGGGAGGAATACTGGAAGAATAACATGCGGAATTGAAGAGGAGGAACGAGAGAGTTGAGCGGAGCGTACCTGGCCGAATAGCACGCAAGGGCAGAAGCAACCCAGGTAGCCTGCGGAGGGGGGAAGGGGGCAATGGCGCAGAGCGGGACACGGATATAATACGCGTTAGACGGAAACGCTGATGTAGCTGGCCTCCAAAAGGACATTTGCGTTATAACTTGGACTGATCATGTCATCTTGAAGAAGTCACTTCTAGCTAGTAGATTAGAATGGGGCTGGGACAGCACGAGGCCACGAACCACGCATGCTCCATGAAGCAGTTGATTGGACTGGAGAGACATGGCCGCATGGCAGACGGGGGCACGGCATTCCGCGACGGGGGCATGGAAAGCACGGCAAGGCGTTGCGGTCCTCGCAAGCGGGTGATCTTTGAGCGATCTTGAGTGGTTTTTTAGTCGACTAGAAAATCTCGCATGGCAAGGCGTTGCGGACCTAGCAAGCGCATGAGACATCGCGCAGGCAGCCGGGAAATCACGCGCACCGCCGGGGAGGCATAGTCGGGGAGGCATAGTCGCACTCACAGCTTCTCAAGTCGCGCGAGCAGTCAAAGAGGCCCGTGCTCCACGGCGCACCACCATTCCCGCTGATCTCATCCGCATCCATCGCCGCGCCACCGTCACCTGCCACGTGTCACCTGCACCTCAAGCTTCTCCTTCCACCTTCCACCTGTCACCTGTCACCTCCCCCTCGGCCTTATCCCCGTCGCGTGACCTGACACAATGACACCAACGTAACCGAACGACACACTGGCGGTGCTCGTTATCCCTTTCCCTTCCGTAGTCTGTCGCAGGGTCTCTCGAAGCGGCAAGGTCGCTGTTGGGGCTTGCGACGGCCGCACGGGTAACGGGAAATGAACGGTCGGTCTACGTAGGCTCGACTGTGTGAAATTGCCGCTCGTAGGACGGGGAGAAGACGACGAGAGGGGGGTGTGGGGGGTGAAGACGTGTCTCGAGTCTCGACTTATCAATTATTGCTCGAAGTATCCCCAGTTCCCAACAACCAAATGTCGCTCGAGATCTGGTGGGTGTCACAAGAGATACCTACAGGTCAGCCCCGACTAGTGCAACGACCTCTAAGGCAAACATTCACACCGGGCAACGATAAGCGCAACTCCCAGTACGCAGCGTGTAAGATGTTCCACCAATCTTATAAGCGTATACAATAAACGTCGCAACCAAAGGCACTCACATAAATATGGTCAAGACTGCATCTCATTTGTCACCGATCTCCACGACCCACTCATAGCCCCCTTCCTGAACCATTGATGCAAAACTGATTCACCTATTGACGCTGACCAACCCAGGAACCAATCGAAAGAAGACATATAATTCTATTTGTCGTTTCCAAACCAGACAGGCTCGGAGCCGAAGCTGGATCCACACGCGAGTCTGCACACCCCCCTAACCTGAAATTTGATGAAGCATTGCTCAGAGGGGCGATGTTGTTAAATTATATCTTTGTTATATAATTGGTAGGCTTGGTATATGTTACTGAAACCTACTGTAGAGGGTAAAACCCCCCTCCTTGTATCCCTCTCTCTTCTATTCTCGACCTCTTTTCTCTCGTCAACTTCTTCTCCTAGCTAAACCCTCACGCCATTCCATGGCCGCCTACCGTTCCTACCGTTCCTAGTCTCCTAACATGGTAACAGAGCAGGTTGCCCTTCCCAGGCCTGCTCCCCACGCTTCCGCCGCGCACTCCTCTCCCTCTCGCGCTGCCATGGCGGCCACGTCGTGCGGGTGTGGCGGCGTCGTCGTGCCGCCGGCCACGTCGTGCTGCCGCGGCCGTCTCGACGCGCTGCCGTGGCGTCGCGCTGTCGTGGCGGCATCGTCGACGTCCAGCCGTGGCGGCATGACGGCGCAGTCGTGCTGCCGTCGCAGTGTCGACATACTGTCGCGGCATCGACGCCGCGCCGTGGACGTAGCGATATGCTGCAGTGGCAGCGTCGACGGGCGGCAGTGGGTCACGTGACGTCTTAGGCGCCGTCTGTCCTGACGCCTGCACGCCAGCCACGGGCGTGTTGTAGAAGCCCCGCCCCCCCCTTCCCTGCGTCCCCACTTCCTCGCCGCAGCCGATGGCTGCCTCCCACTGCCGTCCCACCGTTGCGGAGCCCGGCCACGCCGCCGAGTGCTGCGAGCCCCGCCGCCGCTGTTGTCGAAGCCACCACCGCCGCCGTTGTCAACGCTTGCGTTGGGGCCATGCCGCCGCCGCTGCTGCAGTTCCCCCACCTGGGGTGAACGTAGTCGATGGCCGATGGCTCTTCAAGGTGAAGCGCCCTCCTGGAGAGTCGTCGGTGTTCAAGGCGCGCTACGTAGCTAGAGGCTTCAGTCAGCGCGAGGGTGTGGACTTCTTTCATACCTTCGCCCCGACCCCGAAGATGACTACTCTTCGGACGATGCTACACGTAGCAGCACAGCGTGACTACGGGCTGCACTCTCTCGACTTCTCCACAGCATTTCTTTAGGGCACTCTCCACGAGCATGTCTACCTACGTCGCCCGTCAGGCTTCACCGGCACCTTCGCCTTGGGGACCCAGTAGCTCATCTGGCACCTGGTTTACGGCCTGCGGCACGCGCCGCGTGAGTGGCATGACACTCTGCGTGCTACGTTAGCTGACCTGCAATTCTTCCCGTCGTCTGCCGACCCTTCGCTCTTCGTTCGTGCTGGCCAGACCCCATTCTATATCCTGGTCTATGTATGCGACTGGTCTTTGCTACAGCAGACAGAGATGCACTAGCCTTTGTGAAGGCTGAGCTGCTTGGGAGACACACCTGCACTGACCTGAGAGAGCTGTGCCGCTACCTTGGCCTGCAGATCTTTAAGGACAGAGCAGAGCGCACCATCACTTTGACGCAGTCACACATGGTGCGTCAGGTCCTTCAGAGGTTTGGCCTACAGTTCTCCTCTGCACAGCCCACACCTCTGCCGGTAGATCACAGACTCACTGCTCCGGTCCTTGAGGAGTCAGTAGAGCCTAGTGGTCCTTACGCCGACCTGGTGGGTTGCCTCATATACCTGATGACTTGCACTTGTCCAGATCCCGCATACCCTCTCAGCATCCTAGCCCCCTTTGTGGCTACAGGCAGACACCGATCGCAACACTTGTCGGCTGCTAAAAGGGTTTTGCGTTATCTACTAAGTACATCGGGCATGGGGCTAGTGCTAGGAGGACACAGGCCAGTGGTCCTTACTGGGCACACAAACGCTTCGTGGGCAGATGAAGGTGCGACGCTCAGGTCCTTCCAGGGCTACTGATTTAGACTTGGTGCGGGAGCCGTCTCGTGGCTGTCCACTCGTTTGTCGTCTGTCTCCCAGTCTAGCTGTGAGGTTGAGATCTACGCCGATGCCATGGCGGCACAGGAGCTCCGCTGGCTGACCTTGCTCACAGACTTAGGTGAGCGGCCTAGCTCTGCCCCGGTCCTGTACGTTGACAATATGGCCATGATCCTTCTGTGTCAGGAGCCTCGACTGGAGGGTAGAGCGAAGCACATCCAGCTGCGATACTCCCTCCTGCACAAGTTGAAGCAGCACCGCCAGGCCCGCGTAGTACACTTGGCCTCAGGTGCCAACACAACTGATATCTTTACGAAGGCGCTTTCGCCTAAAGATCATCAGCAACATTGTTTACAGCTTGGTCTAGTTCCTGTAGCTTCTCACTTGGTAGGACCTTGATTGTGTACTATTTTTTTATTATCTTGGCTGGCCTTGTGGCCCCTGTTCCAATGACTGGACTAGTAGTGCCGCCTTTGATTACACTTGTTTCGTTTGTACTCTTGCGGACTGGTCTTCAGACCCTTGCCTCAGAGGTTGGACTAGTAGTGCCATCCTGAGCTGTGTGTCCAGGCCCCTAGATTGGTTTATAGGCATGCTGATCGCTCAGGATCCCCCCTGAGTTTTTCCCTGATTTTTCAAGGTAGGCCCAAAAAAACATTCTCATGAATCAGGACTCGGTGGTTTTTTTTTTCCTGAGGAAACAACGCTACTTACATTTTTTTTCTTCTGAATTCTCGAAGCTTTGTGGTTACTTTCTCCCATAGCGAATGTTAGAAGTGCAGGGCGAAATTATGGGGCGAGACACAAATTTGGTTAGGCGGGCGAGATTGCAGGGGCGAAGGGGATTGTCGCCCTCACAAAGCTCCAAGGCACACATCGGACCCAAAATTTCGCTAAGGGCCATCAAGTGCCCTCACACAGCCCCCAGCATGCATCGAGCCTCAAATCTGGCTAAGGGAGAATCAGCCCTCACACAGCCTAGAGGTGGGAAGAACCTCAAATCTCGGGAGCCCCCCAAATCAAGCATTGGTGGAAACGGGTACACTTCGTTACTAAGCTGAAATTTCAGGGTTCGCTAAGATAACATTGCGGAGCTATCAGAGTTGACCACTAAAAAAAGGCTGAAAAATCAGGACATGTCTTCAATAAAATCATGCGCAATCAGGGCTGGTACCAACAACAACCCTGTTTTTTTCCCGAATCAGGAAAATTTTCCTGCAATCTAGGGGCGTGTGCGTGTCTCTTGCTAGTCGATGCCCCTTGTCTAGCCTAGGGGGTGTGTCAACATATTATTTGTATATGTTATAGGCTAGCTAGGTGCATGCCTATATAGAGTACAACCCCTTAGGTTATATCCCCTTGTACCGCCTCATTCTAGTCATTCATTCTCACGTTAAAGCCCGAGTCTAGAATGGTAAAAAACCATGTTTAGTGATCATGGAAACAGTGCCTAAAACATTGGACGAAAACAATTTCGGCAAAGCTCCTCTGGCGAAAAATACTTCTCAGCGAAAAAAAAAGGGTCGCTCGCGACACAAAACGAACCCAACAACTTGTAATCAACAGTGCGCAAACAGTGACGACTTAGGGGGTGGGGGGGGCAAACTGTACAAAGCTTTTCCCGTGCAGCGAGTCTCGGCAAAAAATGCGTCTAGAATGGTACCGGGCGTTTTCAACTTCAGTATGAGTGAACAGAAAGTTGGAGGTTTGTCTCATCTAGCGAATTTCGCACGCTGCCCCATTTCCCCAAGGGTCGCAACGTGGTGGTCCCCTTCACTGGGCTACCCCTACTTTTACGAAAGCAAGTTCAGGAATCCTGAACTTGATAGCCAACCAATGTAGACTCGGGCTTTAACAGATGTAGCTATGTTTGGGGGGAATTCTGCGGGCTGACCCTCGATCCGAAGCAAAATTTTGCAATTGAGAAAGCTTGCTACTTGTAGTGCAAATGGCATCGTTCTCATTCCACTGGCATCAAGTACAAAGAGTTCCCAATATATTCATATATTAGCATAAACTTTATACACTAGGAGGGATATGTCTATGCCGAGGATGATCCACCGAAGCGGTGCATGCTGAAGAGGGTAGACGAAGCGGGTTGGGTGGGCAGGAATTGAACTTGAGCTGGGAAAAATGAAAAACGTGGGTGGAGGAAGAATGACCTCCAACCCCATTATATGGTTGGAGAAGGGCGAATAGCGCGCTTCGACAATGCCTGAGATTGCGTTACAAGCAGCTTCGCATTCACAATACGCAATTTTGAAAGTGTGAACATTTTAAAATTTTACATATTGAGAAAGCTTGCGTATTGTGAACGCAAAAATCCGACGTACATGAGAAGGGGAATGAGACCTTTCTGGAAGGTGGTCGGGTCGTTAGCACCGATGAAGTGAGTAGCCATCTCGTGCACTTGATGTAAAGAGACCGGTTCCTTGGTCCGATTGGGCCGGGGACACTGTCGCTTGGCGAATTGACGAACTTGTGACGTGTGGGGGCCAGTGCTGGGATAGGATGCCCCAATCATGTGGTGAGCGAAGCTGACGACCGAGCATGTGAGTTGTCTTACTGAGAGAGTGGCCTTGTTTCGAATCGCATAGACAAGGTACAAGGTGAGTGTCATGTCCGCGGTTTGCAGGAAGGGAAGGTTGACCTTGATGCAGAAGGAACGAAACTGCTGCCAGTAAGGTTCGTAAGTTCGAATTGTAGAGTGTGCGCGCGTTTTTGCCATGACCGAGAGCAGCTCGCGTTGCAGGGTTGGGATTAGATCTGTTTGCGATACAGGCGGGGAGCCAGAGAAGGCACTAGGGTGTGTGCCTGGGGCTAAGCATTGGCTTCCGTGCGTGAGTCGGATGTGAGCTTTGATGGGGCTAGCCCAGGCTGGCGGTGAGGGTTGGAGGAGTGGCCACCAGCTGGCTCCGGGCCAGTGGGAAAGTACCAGGGTGAGAAACGCGTGTGTACGTTGCGCATGGTGGAGGACGGCGGGGATCAATTGAGGTGGGGGGAAGGCAAAGCCGTGTTGTGCCGACCAAGAGATTGTGAAAGCGTTGATCGCCGTAGCCGCGGGGTGCGGGTTTTCGGAACAGAAACGACGCAGCTTGGCGTTGCTAGCATTGGCGAAAAGATCAATGGAATGGGGACCCCAGCACCGACCAAGGATGTTGAACCACGGCGTTTTCAGCGTGTAGTCATCGCGATCGAGTATCTTGGAAAGCTCGTCTGCATGTCTGTTGAGATCGCGAGGGATCCACTCCATCATGAGGTGAACTCGGTGGGTAGTACACGTGCGAATGATCTCCTTGCAAGCGATGGGGAGATCAGAGCTGTGTGAGCCACCCTTCTTCAATATGAAGAAAACTCCCTGATTATCCACACGTACAAGCACATGCTTATTTCGGAGTAGGTCGCTACATGTCTGCAGTGCCCATAGAACCCCTTCAATCTCTCGACGGGTACTGGACATGTGACGCAAAGCGGCGAGCATGTTCATGCTGGCTTCATAAAGGTTGCCAGAGAACGTGTTGAGAGTAGCCCCCCAGCCGTGGCTGCTCGCGTCGACGTGAATTACAGCATCGTAGCTACAGCGCACATGAAATGGGGCACCGTTGAAGTGGTGAAACTCGGTTGACCAGAATTCCAACTCCTCGGAGGCGATAGGTGAGAGCGATACTCTGCTATTCCATGAAGGAGCCTCGTTGATGGTGTGCAGCAGGGCGTGGCTGAATGCCCTGGCAGTGGCCCCAAGCGCAAGAGCCATCGAAGCAAGCATACCAGTAACCCGTGCGACGTGCCGGACGGGGACCTTGGACTGGCTGCGTCCGGCTTCCAGGAGCGACTAGATAGTAGCCTGCAGTGTGCCACGCCGTTCCGGACCCACAGAGAATTGGCCGACTTCGGTATCGAGTTCCAAGCCCAAGAAACGTAAGCGTTGGGTAGGTTGAAGGTGGGATTTCTTGGCGTTGATCACGAGGCCCGCCTTGCAAAGATCACCAATAATGTGGTTGCAAGTTTCCCGGGTGTCGGCTTCCGAATGACTAAGGAAGAGGATATCGTCCACATACGGTATGGCACACACTCCCCTTTTTCTCCAGCAGCGCGCGAGCTACTTGATCAACTGCGTGAAGATGAACGGTGCTGTACCCAGTCCGAATGGAAGAGAGCGGAAATAGTATGAGTGCCCGCCAAATTGAAAACCCATGAATTTCCAATGTCGACGTCGTGATAGCCAGGCTTAAGGTCGATTGAAAACATCCAATCGCCTGCATGCACCAACTCTGCGATGCGACTGAGTCCCTCGTACTTGAATTTGGGAATTTGCAGCTCCTGGTTGACCTTGCGCAGATCGAGGATGAGACGACATTTGTCGCGCTGTTCCACAACGTTGAGAGGGCTGACGCATGTGAGTGTTGATTCTGGCACCTTTGCTGCGGCGCCGGTTTGGAGGAGATCCGCGATGGCGGACTTCGTAAATGCCTCGTGAATTTGGGCCCCCGCATGATTGGTTCTCCGGAAAAGTTGTGGGGGCCCTTGTTTCCAGGGCATCCAGTAGCCTCTGTCAATGACTGATATGATCAAGCTACTGGTGCACCACGAACGCCACCAGGGTATTGCGTCTCGCAGGCGCCCGCGCATGGTTGAGACCGTCCGGTCCGTCAGTGCATGTTCGAAGGGATCACCAAGCCCCGTAAGGTCATATGTGAGTAGTTCTGCAAATGGAATCCAACAAAATAATGGGGTAAGGTTCGTAAATGTTGGGCACAGTGAGCGCGAAGTCCACCAACGTGATCGTGAGCATGCATTTTTTATATATATATATTTTTGAAGCCAGGGATGTATCCATTGTTATAATCACAATAGGCTCAGATGTGCCAAAAATGATAGGAATTGTGCACAGTCAGAATTCCGTTAGACAGATTCAAATATTGATGCCGATCTGATCTGAGCCTCAAACGGTCATTTGTAAATTGGATCTGGAGCGTGTTGCTGTCGCCTATCAGCAGCAAGTTGAATCATAAAATTCCATGAAGATTTGACGACGCTATGGCGGTTTGACTGGCAGGAGGTATAGCAGCCACTATAGTCTTGGAAGTACAACCTTAGCAAGAAGAGTTCGAGATAGACATGGTTCCCAGCCTCTACATACCCCAAGAGTTGAGGTCCAGGTTGGTGGTACACCACCACAGAGTCCCCAACCATGAAGAGTCTCGAAACAAACCCTCCACGTGAAATGTAACACTACACGAAGTAGCGTTACTATTTTCACTATTTAATATTTATCCATGTCCCTTGGGCTTGAAATCTTGAGCTCTTGGTCTTGGTTCAGCAACATAAATTCTTCTTGAGTTGTTGGAGGCTTGCTGCACACACCTGCGACACGATGGACACTTCACACTCGACAAAATAGAAAAAACACATTCGACACGCAAACGACGACTTGACATGCGAGTTGTGAAAACTCGCTAATGTCTTGACCGACACAAACCACATTGTGATACACCATTCAGACACACACACACAAGCACTAGATAGCAGTGACATAGAATCTCAATTCATTCCATGCCATGCATGCACACACACAAACAAGGACGACAAGCCGAGTGCAAGCCATAGGGTTGCACCAACATCCATGAAGCCTGGTGCCTGATACGATATGAATGTAAGGGACTAGGGCAATGTGTATCTGGCCCGGCAGCCGGTTGCATGCTGTGCCACCGCACACGCACTTTCGATGTTGCTTTCTCACGTTCCGGCTCTCTCACTCACTCTCTCTCTCTCTCTCTCTCTCTCTCTCTCTCTCTCTCTCTCTCTCTCTCTCTCTCTCTCTCTCTCTCTCTCCCTCTCTCTCTCTCTCTCGCTCTCTCTCTCCCTCTCTCTCTCTCTCTCTCTCTCTGTTTCTCTCTCTCTCTCTCTCTCTCTCTCTCTCTCTCTCTCTCTCTCTCTAACTCTCTCCCTCTCTCTCTCTCTCTCCCTCTCTCTCCCTCTCTCTCTCTCTCTCTCTCTCTCTCTCTCTCTCTCTCTCTCTCTCTCTCTCCCATCCCTCCCTCTCTCTCTCTCTCTCTCTCTCTCTCTCTCTCTCTCTCTCTCTCTCTCTCTCTCTCTCTCTCTCTCTCTCTCTCTCTCTCTCTCTCTCTTTCTCTCTCTTTTTCTCGCTTGCACCATCTTTCTCTTGCGAAGTATCGCATGTCCCAGTAAGCCAAATCCCTCCAATAGCTTGTCAAAGAGCATGTGATGGGATGGATGCTAAGGCTAGTTATGTACCTCGCGCTAGACCTTGTAGGCCCAACAAAGTGTTTGGTTTCATGTGCCTTGATGTGGCCGCACCCATTTTTTGGTCGTGCCTTCTTCTAGGGTAGGCTTGGATGGCAAGGGCACCCAAGATAGGTTCCTAGGCTCCAAAAATGGAGCTGCCTTGTGAGGTCCCAAGGCATTGTGAAACCCTCTTTTTTTTTTTTTTTTTTTTTTTTTTTTTTTTTTCCAGATTGGGGTTCTCAATAATATTTTAACAAATGAGATCAACAAGAATTGAAAAGCTTGGCCCATGATCTTCGAGTCTCGAGCCTTGGCCACTATCCAACAGGGATTCTATCTTTTAAAAAGATCATGAAACGAAAAGAAGCGGCACCTCCAAGGGTGCCACTACCGAGGTAGGTCAAAAATGTTTTCTCCCCCCTTGGGGCTTGGCCCATGGCCTATACTCATACCCTCTATCGGGTTTTGCCAGCGGCCTTTTCATTCTACTTCCCAGCGAGGGAATGGCCAGCGGCCCTAAGCACCCCATGGTGAAGTGGCACCTATTTCGAAGTCCACAAAAAAATCCTCATTTACTTTTCACACAACGGTTGCGGGCCCTTGTGACCCGCTCCCATTTCCAGTGCAGTTGTTCGCCGTGTGGCCCGGCTGGCCACAGCAAAAGCAAGCGCCTCGGAAGCCCCTCTGGGCGCCGCTCGATGGAGGGTCAAACTTCCCTCCAAAGCCCATAGGGCCACGGCCTCCAACGGGATGGCCACGGCCATAGGAGCCTTGCGCGCGTTTCATTGCCACAACGTCTGCAACTGCTTGCTTGAAGGGGCGTGAGGTGAGGAAACTCTTCTCTTGGTAGAGCTTGAAGCGGTGTGCCGTCTTGAAGTCGGAGGCGTCGGCGACTTGGAGAAGCTCGAAGCGCTTGGCGATGAGTGCGTACGCCGCCTCGAAGTATTCGAGCGAGCTCGATGTGTCGTCGTGGCGCACCTTGTGCTCCCCGTGCTTCAGGTACGCTCGCAGGTCTTCCAGGAACTCGGCTTGCTCGCGTACCCCAGCGTTGTTGAACGATGATGCCGGGATGGTTGGGTTAGAGAAAGGAAGAGGTGGGAGGTGCTCGGTGGGTGCGAAAAAAATAGTGTGTGTATGAGCCTCACTAGCCTCGTTGTCGGAGTCACTGTCTTCCTTGGCATTGTCTTGCGTGGCAGCGGCTAACTCCTTCTTGGCACGGGCGGTCTTTGAAGGACGAGCGTGACGCGACGACTCCTTTTTTCCATCTTCAATTTTAGTGGAGGCAGAAATGGTAGTCGCAACTGCTGTAACCGCGGGTGTGTTTTGCTGTAACAGCGCCATCAGTGCCACCACTTGCTCGTTGGTCAAAGCAGGGGCGGTGGGTGTTGGCGCGCTCGACGAGGCCGCCCTGCGGCCTCGCTTGTTCTGACGCGAGGGGCCTGCCCAGCCGTTCGGTGCCTTCTGCGCGCTAGCGTCAGCAGGTGACGCGCCATCCGCTACTTGTGTTGCCTGCTGCTCGTTGGCGTGTGGCTCACAAAGCCCAACTTGGTTGACCTCGCCACTGCGCAGCAACACGCTGAGGGCAGAAGGGGTGAGGTCGCCCTCTGCCCGATGCTTGTTGCCGCGATCACCCGCCATTTCACGCGCGTTTTTCTCGGTTCCGAAATATTCAGAGTGTCGACGGGCAGATTTTCAGCACGATTGGCCGGGGTGCTAAGAGGGGCCATGGCTGCCTGGTTATGCGTAATGATATCGGCGAGAAGCTGGGAGGGTGCTTCCCCGTGAGGGAGAGTTTTCAACTTCGCCAGAGTGGCGGAGCGAAAAAGGCGGGATGGGAACTCAATTGAACTTGAGCTGGGAAAAATGAAAACGTGGGTGGAGGAAGAATGACCTCCAACCCCATTATATGGTTGGAGAAGGGCAAATAGCGCGCTTCGACGATGCCTGAGATTGCGCTACAAGTAGCTTCGCATTCACAATACGCAATTTTGAAAGTGTGAACATTTTTAAAATTTACATTTTTCGGAAGGTGCACCGATGCAATCTGCTCTTTCCTTTTTTGCCTGCAGAACGCAGCCGTTGAATCATATGTATTCCGTAACGACGTCACCGACAAACGCTGGGGTGATTCGTAGCTAAGTTGGAGACTGTTGGGCTGAGAAATAGCCCTTAGCATCTTTCTAGAGACTAAGTCCCACTTGTACAAGATGCTTGAGTAGTGCAGCGGAAGTGTGGAGTAGTTGAACCCTTGCACTAGTATGTGAGAGCAAGTGATTAATTAAAAGAAACAAGCATACAGCAATATATAGGAAAGAAGAGATGAAGCAGTTGTAGAATACAGTTGAAGAAACGGTTATCGAGTCGCACAGCGACTCGATCGTTGGTTTGGTTACCATCCTTGCAGTCGCAACAGTCGGTCGCAACCTCCGGTTGCAACCCTTCGAGTCCCTTCGTCCTTTCGTGTTCTTTCGTCCAACCTCCTCGTGTAACCTCCGTTGACTCGCGTACTCGATATGACATTTCTTCGAGTGTAGTGTTACACTTTAGAAACGCTTAAGTCCTCGAGGTATTTCCAACACTCCCCTTCGTTTCTGGAGTGCTGACGTGTCTGGAGTGGTGACGTTTATCTGCCCGATCAGCAGCATGCAGTAATCGAACCTTGCCTTTGCCAGTTTCTTCGTCAGGTAATCTACAGCCATTTCTATCGTGGGGCAGTAACTGAGTTGAAGTCTCCCCTTCGTGATCTCATCCTTGACGAAGGAATGCCGCAGAGCGATGTGATTGGTTCGATTGGCGAACCCATTTTTGTTCGCGATTTTGATCGCGGATTAGTTATCGCAAAATAGCGAGAAGACGGGCATGGTCGCGATTTTCGCTTCCTCGAGTAGCTCCCGTAGGTAAAGTCCTTCTTTGGTCGCAGAGCAGAGAGCGATGTATTCCGCTTCAGCCGAGGATAACGCGATTAGTTTCTGCTTGCTCGATTGCCAGGAGTAGTCCCGATAGGCTCTAGTCGGTAGATGTAGCCCGTTCTGGAGCGACGATTCTCCCTATCTCCCGCGTGGTCGGCGTCGACGTAGCCGAGTAGCTGTACGGACGATGGCGTTGCTTTGCTGTAGGTAAGTCCGGTCGTCGGCGTAGAGATGAAGTAGAGTAGTGCCCGATTTAGTTCCTCGAGATCCTCTTGCTCCGGCTGCTTCAGGTGTGTCGCCAGTTGGCTCGCGCTGTAGGACAAATCCGGTCGGCAGGTTACTGCTGCGAACAGTAGACAGCCGAGCTTCTGTTGATATTCCTGGATTTGCTTCGCGGGGAGCTTCACGGAGGTTTCACTATTGTTCCCGTAGCGATAGGGAGTCGCGCCTGTGACTGGCATTAGGTCGAATTTCTTCGTGACAACGCCTGCGTATTTTCCAGTGCATAGGTAGAACGCCGAGTTGTCTTCGACGATGTTTAGACCTAGGTACTGGCTCACAGTGTCTGACACTGTGAGTGTTAAGTCACTCCTCAGCTCCCCTTCGAACCAGGTGGCGACATCGGTAGTGGAGCCAACGTAGAGTAGGTCATTGACGTATGCGATGAGTAGGACGAAGTCCCCCCCCTTCTGTAGTCGGTACATGCCTTGATCGTGCGGCAACTGCAGAAAACCGATCCTTACGAGGTGGCCGTGAAGGTGCTGCTGCCAGAGCTGCGGGGCTTGTTTAATTCCGAACAGGGATTTTACCAGTTGGCACACTTTTGTGGGATCGTTGATGAATCCGTGGGGCTGCTCGACGAAGATTTCGGCGTCCACAGGTGCGTACAGGAAGGCATTGGCGACATTGATCTGGCATAGTGGTAGCTTTTTCGTGGCCGCGTTGGCGAGCAGAATGTGCAGGGAAGTGTGTCGGGAGACTGGGGAGAATGTCTCTGTGTAGTCGGTTCCGTATCGCTGGTCGAATCCTCGTACGACGCAACCAGCCTTGAAGCGGTCGATGGAACCATCCGCATTAGTCTTGATGCGGTACACCCCTTTCCCCGAGAGCACATTCTTCCCGTTGGTTTTTGTTGCAGGTACCAGTTTCCACGTATTTCGGTCTTGCAGGGCCTTTAGTTCCTTTTCCATTGCTTCCTTCCATTTCGCCTTGTGTTCCCCCCCCAGAGCCTGCGACAGAGTTGTTGGCTCGCGCGGTGACGTTGGTGGCGGGCTCTGGACGGTGACCCATAGTCCAAGTATCTGCAGGCCCGTGGGTGTGTGTCGAGGGGAATTGTCATTCTCAGGATAAGCTGCTTCGTCTCCGTCCTCGGGGTCAGGTAAGAAATTGGGTCCGATGCGTTCGGAGATATTTGTGTCGACCGGTTGAGGTGTAGTGTAACCTTGGTCAGCGAAGTGGTAATAAGTGTCGAGGTTGTTACTATCGAAAGGATTGTCGTCGTCGAGTGGAACGGGCACGGAGCAGTATGGTAGTGGTCCGGCAGCTTCTGAGGCTTCAGGTACGTCTTCTTCTGCTGCGTCAGCTTCAGCAGCACGGTCGGCGAAGGACCGATGGCCCTCGAAGCCGTCGGTGGGGTCGTCTGTGTTGGCGATGTTGTCCAGGTAAAGCTGCAGTGTTAGTCGCTCGTAGAAAATCACTTCACGTGAGGCCACGGTGCTTTTGTCCTGAATGTCGAGAAGTTTCCATGCCTGGAAATGTTTTGCGATGCCGAGGTGTAGTCCCCATCGTGCTCTTTGAGAGAATCGTCCTGCTCGGGCTGTGTGGGGTCTGTACTGTACCATGCAGCCGAATACTCGAAGTAATTTTGTGCTGCCCTGTTTTCCTGTCCAGAGCAGGTGCGGTGATGCATTGTTGGGAAGTGACGTCGAGGACAGCAAATTGTGTAGGTGGACTACATGCGTCATCGCGTCACGCCAAAGCGTGTTGGGCAGTCTCATCCCCAGGAGCAGCTTCCGCATCGTCGTCTGCAAGGTTCTGTTCATCCTCTCTGCGACCCCCTGTTGCTGGTGAGCGTA